CTTCCAAAACCTGGGGAGAGAAATGGACATCAGATCTATGAGGCTCAAAAGACCCCAAACAGGTTGAATCTGAATAGGGCTACACCTAGACATATTATAATTAAAACGTCAATAGTCAAAGACAAAGAAAAAATTTTGAAAGCAGCCAGAGAAAAGTAAAATGTCACATAAAAGGAAACCCCAATAAGACTATCTGTGGATTTCTCAACAGAAACTTTTCAGGCCAGGAGAGAATGGGATGTTATATTCAAAATATTGAAAGAAGAAAACTGTTATCCAAGAATACTACACCTGCCAAACTGTCCTTCAGCAATGAAAGAAAGATAAAGACTTTCACAAACAAACAAAAGCTGAAGTTCATTATTGTACCAGGAATATGAGATGGATATCACTGGAACTATGTAGTCATTCTGTCACATTAAAGGATAGTGACTGGTTTGGCACTGACTAATCGAACTGCCCAGGTATTTATTGGGTAGCCCCAAATGAGATTCAGTAGTTGTGTGGCACAAATATTTGGCTGTGGCTTCCACCTGAGTGGTTGGGTGCTGCACCCTGGGTTTTCCCGGGGCACAAGGGAGAATCTACCCCACGGTAACAACAATTACCAACCTCTCTTTCCTCAAGGCCAGATGGGAACATTCTATTTTCCACCGGTACAATCATTTGGCCACCATCTTTATTCCCTCCCTTGGCCTGGAGGATGTTATAGCACATATAGAAGCCCTTACTAAATTCACCTAGAAAGCCTTAAATGATAGCTGACAAAACCTATCTTTTACTTAATACTGAATTGTCTCTAATGAGAAAAGCTGTCCTCCAAAATAGTACAGACTTGGACATTATCATTGCCTCACAAGGAGGGATCTGTGCCATTATCCAAAGCGTTGTGTGTTCATACCTAATGAGTCTGCTAATGTATCATCTTTATTAAATCACATGGGGAAACAAGTGAATACCCTGAGGGATCTGACACCCAGCCTAAGGGACTTAGTAAATCAATAGTCCGGATCATGGGGTTTTGGTGGAAAAACCTGTTACTGTTCTTTATTTTGGGAAGCATTATCACGATCTGTGTTTTCTCCTGAGTGTGCCTCTATTGCTGCTGTGGTATCTGCCTCCAGTGCAGCCAGACAGCTGCCAAACAGGCCACCTCCTTGCTAGTGAAACCCCTTGCTGACCACTCAGGGCACACTGCAGAAGAGGGGGCACGTAAGATTGTAACAGCCAGTCACAAGGGGTAGAGTGTTGGAGGAAGTCATCAAAAGGACGTGACCACCAGTTGACCCACAATGGGAACTGTTTTCAAGGATGTAGCCTTGAGCAAGCAATGTGTTGTTGAGACCATCTGGATGGTATACCCAGTTAAGGACTCTATATAAACGTTAAGATTTCAGTGGTGGATGCTGAGATTTACTCATCTTGCAGCCACCCACGACAAGCCTCATATGTAAGTTCCCTTGCTTATTAAACCTGCCACCTACCACTCTGGAGTGGCCTGCTTCTTTCTTTGGTTTCTCCTTGCCCTCTGTATAGGGACCAGTTTGAAAACCAACAACATTAGAACTGATACCATAGCAATACTAAAGATCATAAGAAGCTACTTTAAAGAAATATATGCCTAAAACTGGACAATCTAGACTAAATGGAAAACTTCTTAGAAACATACAACCTACTAAGACTGAATCAGGAAGACATGAAAAGAACAGATGAATAACTTGTAAGGAAAATCAAAAATGTCCCAAAGAAGAAAAGTCTAGGACTTGAGGGCTTCACTGGTGAATTTTACCCAACATTTAAAGAAAGATAACGCTAATCCTTCTCAAACTCTTCCAAAAATTCAAAGATAAGGGAATACTCTCAAACACATTTCACAAAGCCACATTACCTGATACCAAATCCAGAAAAGGACACTACAAGAAAAGAAAACTACAGTCCATATCCCTGATGAATATAGATGCAAAAATTCTCAATAAAATACCAGCAAACCAAATTCAGCAGCACATAAAAAGGATCATTCACCATGATCCAGTGGGATTTATCCCTGGGATGCAAAAATAGTTCAACATACACAAATCAATAAATGTGTTACATCACATTAATAGAACAAAAGAAAAAAATCATATGATCATCTCAATAGATGTAGAAAAAGCATTTGACAAAATTCTACATTTGTTCCTGATAAAAACTCTTAATAAGTTAGATATAGAAGGAACAAACCTCACTACAATAAAGGCCGTAAAGGCCTATGACAAGCCCACATCTAACGTTATACTCAATGGTGAAAGGTTGAAAGCTTTTCCTCTAAGATCAGCGACAAGACAAGCGTGACCACTCACCATTCCTACTCAACATAGTACTGGAAGTGCTAGCTAGGTCAAACAGGCAAGAAAAAGAACAAAAGGCAGCAGAATTGGAAAGGAAAAAGTAAAACTGTCTCTGTTTATAGATTTTATATAGAGAAAATCCTAAAGACTCCACCAAATAACTGTTAGATGGAATCAATGAATTCTTAAAGTTGCAAGATATAAAATTAACATACAAAAATTGAAGAAAAAAAGAATCAATGAATTCTTAAAGTTGCAAGATACAAAATTAACATGCAAAAATTGGTAGCATTTCTATACACCAGCAATGAATTGTCTGAAAAAGAAATTATAAAAAACCAATTCCATTTACAATAGCATCAAAACCAACAAAATACTTAGGAATAAATCTAACAAAGGAGGTGAAAGATCTCTACACTGAAAACTACAAGACATTGGTAAAAAGAAAGTGAAGAAGATGCAAATAAATGGAAAGGTATCTCATGTTCATGGATTGGAGGAATTAATATTGTTAAAATGTCCATGCTACCAAAAGCCATCTATAGATTCAACGCAATCCCTATCAAGATTCCAATGGCATTTTTTACAGAAGTAGAAAAAAAAAATCCTAAGATTTATATGGAACTACAAAAGACCCCGACAGCCAAAGCAATCCTGAGAAAGAAAAACAAAGTGGGAAGTATCACACTTCCTGATTTTAAGCTATATTGTAAAGTTGTAGTAATCAAAGCAGTAATCAAAGGTACTAGCATAAAAACAGATAAATAGACCAATGAAACAGAATTGAGAGCCCAGAAATAAACCTATGCATATACAGCCAATCAGTATTTGACAAAGGAGCCAAGAATACTCAATGGAGAAAAGACAGTCTCCTCAATAAATGGTGTGGAGAAAATTGGATATTCACATGTAAAATTAACATAAAATGGATTAAAGACCTAAACGTAAGACTAGAAGCCATAAAATTCCTAGAAGACAGCACAGAAAAAACCTCCGTGATATAGGTCTGGACAATGATTTTTTTTATGTGGAATCAAATATATATATATGTGATGGAGAAAGAGATCAGATTTGTAGTTACCAGAGGCAAGAGGTTGGAGGTGAGGGAACTGAATGAAAGTGGTCAAAAGGTACAAACTTCTAGTAAGATAAATAAGTACTGGGGATGTAATGTACAATGTGATGACTATAGTTAACACTGCTGTATGGTATATTTGAAACTTGATAAGAGTAGATCCTAGGAGTTCTCTTCACAAGGAGGAAACAAAGAACTCTTAAAACTCAACCATAAGATTAACATCTTTTAAAAAATGCACAAAACACTTGAATAGACACCTCTCCAAAGAAGACATATAGATGGCAAATAAGTATAGAAAAGATGCTCAACATCGCATGTCATTAGGGAAATGCAAATTAAAACAACAACGAGATACCACTACACATCTATTAGAATGGTCAAAATCCAGAACACTGACAACACGCAATGCTGGTGAACGTGCAGAGCAACAAGAACTCTTATTCATTGCTGGTGGGAATGCAAAATGGTACGGCCACTTTGGAGGACAGTTTGGTGGTTTCTTGCAAAACTAAACATACTCTTACCATACAATCCAGCAATCACAGTCCTTGGTATTTACCCAAATGAACTGAAAACTTATGCCCATACAAAAACCTGCACACAAATGTTTACAGCAGCTTTATTCATAATTGCCAAAATGTGGAAGCAACCAAGATGTCCTTCAGTAGATGAATGGATAAATTGTGGTATATCCAAACAATGGAATATTAGCACTAAAAAGAAATGAGCTCTCAAGCCAGGAAAAGACATGGAGGAAGTTTAAATGCATATTACTAAGTGGAAGAAACCAATCTGAAAAGGCTACATACTGTATGATTCCAACGATATGTCATTCTAGAAAAGGCAAAACGATGAGACAGTTAAAAAAATCAATGGTTGTCAAAGGTAGAAAGGATGGAAGGATGCATAGGCAGAGCACAGAGGATTTTTAGGGCAGTGAAATACTCTGTATGACACTATTAATGATGGATACCTGTCATTATGCATTTGTCCAAACCCATAGAATGTACAACACCAAGAGCAAACCCTAACATAAACTATGAACTTGGGTGATAATGATGTGTCAATGCAGTCTCATCGAATGTAACAAATGTACCATTCTGGTGGTGGATTTTGATGGTGGAGGAGATTGTGTGTATCGAGGTCACAGGTATGTGGGAAAAATCGCTGTACTTTTTGCTCAATTTTGCTATGAACCTAAAAGTGCTCTAAAAATAAAGTCTATTTTAAAAAAGAGGGATAAAACCAATAGTTTTCTGTTACCCTGTGTATTCACAGACACAAATTATAGCATAATTATCTTCCCTTAATGAACAGGTTAATGTATTTATTGAAATATTTAACACCTCTGAAAAGTACTCAACTGTAATAATAAATTTGTTAAGGTCATCAGCAATTTAATTCTATACAATATTCTCTAAAACTACCTATGGCTCCAAATTTAGTATCCCAATTCAGCTCCATATTGAAGCTAGATAAAACAGGGCCTAGCACACAGTAGGAACCAAATAAACATTGAATAAATTAATGAGTGATGCTGAAAAGTGTCCAAGATAGATGTGATCGGGGGAAATATAAATCATGAGCTTACTTACTCCATGTCCACTGCACCGTTGTGAACAAGTTAGTGCTTCTCCCTTAAGTATCCTTGATTCTACACATACTGAATTTATACATATCTAAATAAAGACACACCAAAAAAGTTCCTAATCAGAGGAATCCAGCTATCATAACATTTACAATCAGTAATTTTATAAAATAAGACCATAACTCTTCAGTGCCATAAACTGCCGTCTAAGTGCTGCTTTTGCCACATCCCACAAATCGGCACATGTTGTACTTTCATTTTCATTTAGTTCAAAATATTTTTCAATTTCTCTTGAGATTTCTCCTTTGGCACATGTGTTTTTTAGAAGTGTGTTGTTTAATCTCCAAGTATTTTGGGATTTTTCAGATATGTAAACTATGGACTTTGAGTGATAACAATGTGTCAATGTGTGTTCACTGATTGTAACAAACATGTCACTCTGGTGGGGTTATAGATAGCGTAGGAGTCTGTGCCTATATAGGGGTAATGGGTATATGGGAACTCCTTGTACTTTCTGCAAATTTTGATGAGAACCTAAAACTGCTCTAAAAAATAAAGTCTATTTTTAAAAATAAATAAATTATTTTTAAAAAATGATTCAGGCTTCCAGTATCCAGTTCTGCATCTAAGGAGCTTAGAAGTTGCCACTCTATCCTAACAATAAGAAAAAGCTGAACAGACTGAAAAATCAACAACTCTTATAGGTTCCATAAGAGAAGTAGAGACACAGGGCAAACCACTGCCCCTAAGATTGGAGAGACAGACAAGTGAATACAGGGAGTCACAAGTAGAAACCACCTCAGGTACCCTGACCAAGGTAGGAAAACCTGAACTGTAATTGACAAACTGCTGGAGGCTCAGGGTGGACAATTCTGAAAGTTAAAAACTCCAAGGGCCCCAGACATGGGAGACCCCCCCACAATTTTGTGAGATTTACCTCCAGGAGCTTGACTAGGTTCTCATAGTAAATATCAGAGAAAAATTTCCTTGTTTTCTGGGGGGAGGAGGGGAAAGGAACCATTTTGAAACAGCCAGAGCACTCTGTTCTTCTTAACAAGGCCTTCCCTCAGGAGAAATGAGTTAACCAGAGCCTATCCTGCTGGGGTTTTATCAACCGACTGATCTGAGAGAAGGGAAATACTCAATACCAGCCCACCCCAGCCATCCTGGGGAGGATGAAAAAAACTGAGAAACACTTGTAAAATTCACACTCCAGAAGCACAGGCTCACTAAAAGACTAAGGCCTAATCATAGAACTAAAGAATGCTTCCTCTCCCCACATCTCACCACTATATCAACTAAAGGTTGTTTACCACTTTTAGTTCTTTTACCTGGTACATTATGTCTGGTTAACAAGAAAAAATACAAGGTGTACTAAAAGCCAAAAGACACAATTTGAAGAAACAGAGCAAACATAAGAACCAGACATGGCAGGGATACTGGAATTATCAGACTAGGAGTTTAAAACAACTATGATTAATATGCTAAGGGCTAATAGATGAAGTAGACAGCATGCAAGAACAGATGGGCTACATAGGCAAAGAGACAGAAATCCCAAGAAAGAAACAAAAATAAATGCCAGAGTGAAAAAAAAAAACACTGTAGCAAAAATGAAGAATGCCTTTGATGGGCTTATTAGTACACTGGACATGGCTGAGGAAGGAATCTCTGAGCTAAAAGATCTATCAATAGTATCCTTGAAAACCAAAAAGCAAAGAGAACAAAGACTTAAAAAAGTAGCAGAATATCCAAGGACTGTGGGACAACTACAAAAGGTATAACATAGGTGTAATGGAAATACCAGGAAAAGAAAGAGAGAAAGGAAGAGAAGAAATTTTGAAACAATAATGACTGAGAATTCCCTCAAATTAACGTCAGACCCCAAACCACAAATCCAGGAAGCTCAGAAAATAAGAAGCAGAATAAATGCCAAAAAAGACTACACTGAGTCATATCATGTTCAAATGACAGAAAATCAAAGCATAAATCTTGAAAATAGCCAGAGTTAAAAAAAGAAAAACAACCCTACCTATAGAGGAACAAAGGTAAGAAATACATCTGACTTCTACTCAGAAACCATGCAGTCAGAAGAGAGTGGAGTGAAATATTCAAAGTGTTGACAGAAAAAACCAGCAACCTAGAATTCTATATACTGCAAAAATTATCCTTCAAAAGTGAAGGAGAAATAAAGACTTTCTCAGACAAACGAAAATTGAGGGAATTTTTTGCTAGTAGAGCTGCCTTGCAAGATACATTAAAAGAAGTTCTTTAAAGAGAAGGAAAATAATATAGACCAGAAACTAATAGAATGTACACCACCAAGAGTGAATGCTCATGTAAACTATTGTCCTGGTGTGATTCTGATATGTTAATGTAGGTTCATCAATTGTAACAAATGTACCACTCTGGTGGGCAATGTTGATAATGCAGGAGGTTATGTTTGTGTGGGGGCAAGGAGTATATGGGAAATCTCTGTACCTTCCTCTCAATTTTGCTGTGAACCTAAAACTGCTCTAAAAAATATAGCCTTTAAAAAATGATTCAGGGCAGGGAAGTGGGAGATAGAAATGAAACAAGACTGACATAAAAAAATCATACCCAAATAACTTTTTATTACAATACCCTGAAATCTAACAAAACTATTCCTAAGAGCACAGTTAAAAGAGTATCCTATATTAATTGCACATATAAAAAGTTTGCATAGAATGAAAATCAATTCCAGATATATATTAAGTTTTCATTAAACATGAGTATTATTAGAGTCCCCGAATAAAGATAATAGAAATATATATATCTACTTTTTTTGGTGAGGAAGATTAGCCCTGAGCTAACATCCATTGCCAATCTTCCTCTTTTTTTTTTTGCTGAGGAAGACTGGCCCTGGGCTAACACCTGTGCCCATCTTCCTCTACTTTATATGGGATGCCGCCACAGCATGGCTTGACAAGCAGCGCGCAGGTCAGTGTCTGGGATCCAAACCCGCAAACCCCAGGCCACCAAAGTGGAGCACGTGAACCCAACCTCTATGCCACTAGGCCAGCCCCTTGAGATCTGTAGTATACTTTAATAAAAATTTCTTAAATATAATTTCTTTAAGTTTAAAGTATAATAATCAGAGGATTGAGGATATATTCCCAATTTTATTATTTATAGAAATATCAACTTCTCTCAGTTGCAGTTTTCTTACGAGTACAATAATATTTTCTAAAGTATTTGAGATTCGAGGTTAAAATGAGATAATGTATGTGAAAATTATTTCCTTTTAAACATTAAAGCACAGCACAACTCTCTTCAAATAAATAGCCTCATAAAACCCTTTCTAAATCCAAACAACCTAACCCTTTTAAACCTTCGATGTGTTGGGTCTTCTCATTGGTTCTTGGCCATGATGGTGTGCCTAACAACTCCTTTTGGAATGTAGTATCTATTTTCTGCCTACCTCAGCTGAAATTGAGATGAAGAGTCCTGTTACATAAGAACTCTACTGACAGAAACAAAATTGCCAAGAATGTTTCATCATATGTGATTTATAGTTTCCTTAAAAACTATCTGGTAAAATTTGTTTTCATACATTATCACTGAGAACAATCCATGTTATGGAAAAGATTCTATTCTTAGTAAATTACCAACTGAATAATATTAAATCATCTGTTGCCTGTGTTTCTTTTGTTTTTTGTTTTTTGGTTTTTTTTGGTGAGGAATATTCGCCCTGAGCTAACATCCACTGCCAATCTTTCTCTGTTTTGTATGTGGGTTGCCACCTCAGCATGGCTGAGGAGACGTGTAGGTCCACATCTGGGATCCGAACCTTCGAACCCTGGGCCGTTGAAGCAGAATGCACGAACTTAACCACGACACCATGGGCCAGCCTCTGTGTTTCATTTTTTAATTGTTTTGGCTCGATGGCCTAAATATATCTACTGAGCTCCCTGGCATATACCTCCTTCAAGAAGGCATTTATGACTCCTAGGCCTGAAGAGGAAGCCAGTATTAAGGAGACTATATACTTTGCCTACAATAAACTTCATTTAAACTATAAAACCACTAAAAGTAGCTACTAATATGTAGACTTCACATATTAAATAATTTGTTCAAAATCATCTCTCAAGTAAGTGGAAGAGTCAAAATTCAGATCTATGTGCGTCTGTCTTGAAAGTCTATACTTGAGACTATACTGTTCCTCGTGAGCAAATAGCTGGTCAGGAATTAAATGAGATTTTGAAGTAAATTTACTCCGTCTATGTTTTCTCCAGATTTGGGTCAGCCTCAGAGATAACAAATTATAATAATTGATAATAATAGCAAACCCATATTTAGCTCTTACTATGTGCTGGGCATCATGCTAAGCACTTTATACTGTTATCTCATTTAATCTCCACAATAACCCATAGAGTAAATGCTATTATTATCCCCACTTTACATATAGTTGCAGTATCTCAGATTGGTTAGGTAATTTTTGAAACATCAAAAAATAAGAGGTGAGGTTTTGATTATAAGCAGCCTGATCTAAGCTGTGCTCTTATCTACTGGGCCACAAAGAGACATATATTATTCAGTGGATTTCTTCTTTCTTCTCCAAAAAGAAAAGCGAATTTCCATGCTATGAAGTACTTAACTACAATGTATTCCCAAGATCTCTCTCCTCCCTACACCAGCTTCAAAACACTTGGAGTTTCCTTGCTCACAACATCGAAATTCTGAAGGGGTTCAAACATTCCCATTTCCTTCGTAACATGTGGAGACCAAAGGAAGCTTATTCATTCTCTCCTTATCCAAATATTTAAGGTTACATAGCACTAGAAATGTATTGACATTTAATACTTAAATTAAAATATTTATTAAAGAAATGAAAAAAGCTAGATTTTTTTAAAAATAGATTTTAAATCATTTACCCTCCCATTATCACAATCAGCGCCACTACGGGCCAACAATGGATCTGGATCACGCCCTTGGTAGTCTATAGTTACACATACGGTATCTCGTACAAAAGCATAAATCACAGCACCATTTTCTTGATGGTAAGGACTTGAATAAGGGTAGGTACAAGTTAATTTTCCACATGCAAGATTCCTACAAACATAATAAAATTATATGATTATTATACACTGGGCATTTATTAGGAATGCTTCAGATTTGCTTTCTTTGACAAAAATAATAAAAATAAAGAATGGTTCTCCATTTATGGCAATGCATCTAAGGAAAATGTAATACTTCAACAATAATATTTAAAATAAAAAGTAAAAAAGTTAAAGCTATTGATACAAGCTTATCTTTCAATGGTACTAATAGTCTTTTTTTTTTTCCTGAGGAAGAGTCTCCCTGAGTTAACATCTGTTGCCAATCTTCCTCTATTTTATATGTGATCCACTGCCACAGCATGACCACTGACAGATGGGTGGTGTAGGTCCACACCAAGGAACTGAACCCGGGCCACTGAAGCAGAGCACACTGAATTTAACCACTAGGCCACCAGGGCTGGCCCACTATAAGTCTTTTATTCACTGTGCAGATTTATACACTTATTGTCACATAATCAATTCACTCAATTATTTTATATCCCTCTGCAGAGGGATAAAAAGATAAATAAGTTGTGACCCCTACCCTTAAGGACTTTACAGTCTACTACTAAATGTGATACAAATCCCATTAAAAGTGCTACAAATGAAATAAACAAATCCTTACAGAGATTTAAGATGAGGACACATTCTAACTTATCAGTTAGGAAAAACTTCATAGAGAACACGCCATCTGCATCAAAGCTTACAAATTAGTAGGATTTCTACAGACCAAGTAAGGTATTTCTAAACAAAAGTAACAGCATAAGCAAATCAAGGAAGCATAAAACTACATGGTATATTTACCAGTCTACCAATTCCATGAGTACAAGGGCCATGTATGCTTTGCTAAATAGTATCTGGCCCAGTGTCCAGCACATAGTAGGTTCTTAATAAATGTTTGTCAAAAGAAATTCATGACCAAAATATCAAAGAGCTAGCTCTTCGGATGCAGGCAAAATTAAACTTCATTTTATAGACACTGGGCAGTCTTCAGCTTGGGCAAGCAATTGAGTGAATGGGGCTCGTATTTTTATTTTATAAAACATGAGCAGGTTCAGAGAGGAAAAGTGCAATAGGTATTATCAGTTTCAATCTTGGATTGAATTTAGGAGCCTAATGATCATCTATATAAAAATGTGTAAAAATTGGATGGAAATTTAAGCCTGTAGCACAAGAAAGATGTCAGGGCTAGAGATTTTGATTTGAGATTCACTCCCATACACATGTGATATTTGAAACCACTGGAATGAATGCCATATATAGAGAAAAACTAAAAATAGAATCTTACAGAACATAAGAAAAGTATCTTTACTATTTGCATAGCATACCTCCATCCACAGAATATATATCTGCCTCCTCTCTTACCGCAGTTCCCAAACCTATCATTATGATTTTGTATTTCTTCATAGCAGGCAAATGGAGCACTTCTTGAACCTGTCAAAGTTAGAAATATATGTGGATTAAAACTCCTCTTCTTTTTCATCTTCTTCCATTTCCTCATATATTATATGTTTCTTTTGCCTTTTTCTCTATTTATCTAATTCAAACATTTTCCTAGTGAAGTTGTAAGAGAAAGAATTAAAGTGAAAGGCAATGCTCATGGTTATTCCTCCTTTTGCTTCATTTTCAGTCATTTCCATCACAAAAGATATTATGAGGGGAGGGGAGAGTTATAGGAGTGTAAACCACGAGAGGGCTCTGTGAAGGAAGGCAATAGAGAGATAACACTAGTAAACTAGACTTGTTTTCCTAGATTCTGAGTAGCAACTCATAAAAAGCCAGGTCTATAGCAAAATCTCATTGAAGAAACCTCATTGTATCTTCAGGAAGTCTAAAATTAAGGAACCAAAATTGCCAACCTATATATTTATCTACTTTTTCCTCCATTACTATATTAGTTTTTTATCGCTATGTAAAAAGTTACCAAAACAAAATCGTGGCAGTCTGAAACAACATCCATGTATAATGTCACAGTTCCCGTAGGTTAGAAGTCCAGCAAGGCACAAGCGAGCTCTCTGTACCAGGTCTCACTAGGCTGAAATAAAGTTATTGGCTGGGGCTGCAGTCTGATCTGAGGCTGGAGTCCTCTTCAGAGCTCATTGGTTGTTTGCAAAATTCCGTTTTTTGCAGCCGTAGCTCCATTTTCTTACTAACTATCTGCCAGGAGTTGCTCTTGGCTCCTAGGAACTCCCCTCAGGTCCTAGTTACATGGCTCTCTCACAACATGACAACTTATTTCTTCCACGCCAGCAAGAGAATCTTTCTGGCATCTCCCTTCTTTAAGGGTTCACATGATTAGGTCAGGCCCACTCAGAATGATCTCCCTTTGATTAATTCAAAGATATTGATTATAGACCTTAATTACATCTTCAAAATTCCTTCATCTGCACTATATAATCTAATCACAGGAATGATATTCCATCATATATTCACTAGTTCTGTCCCAACTCAAAGGGAGGGTCATCCAAGGCATGTACATACACCAGGAGAGTCTTAGGGGCCATCTTAGAATCCTGCCTAGCAGTTACCTTCTCCAAAATGAACCTCACTAAGCCTAACTGCCTCATTTATAAAAGCAGATAGTAATATCTACCTCAATGGATTGCTATGAGAATTAACTAAGATGATGTTTATTTAGTCACTGTTAATTCCCACTTAATTCTTCATTTTCTTTTAAGTTCAAGAGGGTTTTTCCCATTTATCGGATTTACATTTTTTCCCCACTATTCTTTTTAATTCTTTACCTTCTTCCTAATTCTCGCTCTTTCCACCATTTTTAAACATTGCTCCATCAAATGTGACTGTATAGATACCGTGAGGACAGGCAATGTTACTTCTGAGTATTCAAGATGTTTAATCAGTTCAGTTGTGAATCTGCCATACCAGGTTAGAAATGCCAATGCAGGGCTTGTTAAACACCAAGATATTATCCAAGGAAAGTCAGAAATTGGATAATTCAGTCCAGTTTGGAGAGATAATGTAGAAGAATATGTTTAGTCCCAGCGTAGCCAGATGAATTGTGTTGAAAGTGATGTTCCTCATCCAGCCCAATTTTTATTAGTCCATCTATTGCATTGAAAGGTACCAATGAACCTTATTATTAATTTTTCCCTTGAATACCCTCTTTCATTGGTGTTAGGGCCTTTCTCTTGGATCAGTCTGGGTTTTCCACGGTGAAACGGAAACATTAAAAGGGCAACACTTTGCAAATGTGAAGTCACATGTCAAATATTCCCTTAAATCCAGTATACTGACCAAGTCTACTAAGTAAGAGAATTTGCCCTTCCATAGTCCAAATAGTGTATTTAGATTCCCTATACCCTATTTTTAAATGCTATGAGGTGCAATAAAATAGTGGGTGCATTTCATAGATAGTTGTGCATGGCTGGTACTAGGGCAGTAAATGTGGGTGTTGGAAAATTATTGCAAATAATGTAGGCAATCCTCATAAACAGCATGGAGCAGCAGGGAGTTTGAGGTTATATTCCCTTGACAACTATTAGAGACTACTAGTTGATGTTTCCAGTTAGATGGAATAGAAGGCTACCCCATCTCAACTGGAATAAACAGAGCCACAGAAATGTTAGCTAAAGTTTTAGCTTTCATAACCTGACATCTGACCTACCTCATCTCATGACTAATAAGCATTTACAATTTAACATATCCTAAAACCAAATTCTGTTTTACCCCTAGATTTCATTTCAGTTTATAGGACCATTTGTCAAACAGCTGTTCAGGCCAAAAGTTAGAAATCATCCGTGATTTCCTTTTTCCCCTCACTACCTGCCTCTACCATCTTATCCAAGTCTTATTGACCCTACCTCCTAAATACAGCCTGAACATGATCACTTCTCACCTTCTCCACAACTACTACTCTAGCCTGAGCCATCATCAATTCTCTTCTAATATACTACAACAGCCTTTTAATTGACTCCCTGCTTCTACTCACCACTCTCCATAGTACATTCTCCATATCATAAATCAGAGTCATCTTTTTAAAAATAAAAGTCATGTATCAGCCTCTTACTTAAATATCTCTAATGGCTTCCCATTACACTAAGAATAAAATCCAATTTTCTAACCATGGTCTTTACTCAGTCTAGTTCACTATGCTTCAGCCACACTGCCCTTCTTTTCATCATTGAACTAACCAAATTTATTCCCAACTCAGTATCATAACATTTGCTGCATTCCTCTTTCTGAAATGCTCTTTCCCAAGATCATCTCTTGGCTGGCTCCTTCTCAGTATTCAAGTTTCTGTCCAAACTTCACTTCTACAAAGATACTGTCTCTGAACACTCTACCTAAAGAAGCCTCACCTTCGTGATCACTCTTTATGCTATCACCCTGTTTTATTGTTGCTTTGTTTTTGTTTTTTGTTATCATAACACCACTAATGTAAATGATTATGTTTATTTATTTACTAATTTTTTATTGTTTATTGTCTGAACTCTTATAGCACTTACCACTAATGGAAATGATTACATTTATTTATTTATTTATTTACTAATTTTTTATTGTTTATTGCCTGAACTCTTCACTGGAATATAACCTCCACAAGAATAGGAATCTTTTCTTTCCTCTTGTCCATCACTGGGTTTCCAATGCTAGAAGAGTGCCATACCCAATTAAAATGCTAAGTAAATACTTATTGAATGAATGAAAAAATCAACACCCTAGGTAACCATATCCCATGATCTGTCTTTGTTATGGAGTTTGACATCAAAAATCAGGACCTCCAGGGGCTGGCCCGGTGGCGCAAGCGGTTAAGTGCACGTGCTCCACTGTGGCGGCCCGGGGTTCGCCGGTTCAGATCCCGGGCACGCACCAACGCACCACTTGTTAAGCCATGCTGTGGCAGTGTCCCATATAAAGTGGAGGAAGATGGGCATGGATGTTAGCCCAGGGACAGTCTTCCTCAGCAAAAAAGAGGAGAACTGGCATCGGATGTTAGCTCAGGGCTGGTCTTCCTCACAAAAAAAAAAATCAGGACCTCCAACATGAATTATACTTGTTCTATTTGAAACAATAGAGTTTTTAAGATTAATATTTGAAACAACCTCCTAAGTGATCTCTTCCAAATTATGTCTCCCATGTCACATCATTAATTTCACTAGAGTTTCTGTTCTGTGGCCCCCTAAATATTTGTTTGAAAGAGCCAATATAAATCCTACATTTTTCAAAGAATTTTCAGATAGAACCAATTTAAATTGTCCACAAAGGGATGATGAAAGGTGAGAGTAGACATCTTTTCCTCATGGCTCCTAAAACAGACTTAAGGGATATTTAAGATAAGTTAGCATAAACTTACTTATAGGATCTTAGTCCCCTTGAGCTATATAATTATTTTCCATCTCCAATAAACTATAGATTACTACTATAACACCAGCTGAAATGATGGAGAAATAATCATTTTCTATCGAGTCCAGAAAATCCATCAAAAATTATAGGAAGAATCAGACTAAATGAAATATCATTTATTACTTTGGCCTTGAAGGAAGAAATATAGGTAAGTTTGTCTCTCTTCTCAGGTTTGCATTCATGTTTATACTGCAGCGTCACTTTTCTATCTCACTGAGGCTCATCTTTCTCCACACGGTCAAAAACACTGCCAAAAAACTCTAGAGCTTTACATATGATAGTTTCGAGTCCTGAGAGGGAAAAATTCTCTTGTTCACTGTCCAAAAATCCCAGAAAAAAGACTCAGAACCTCCCCAACTGCCTTAGCATGAGTCAGATGCTAACCTCAAGATATACCAACTGTAGCAAAGTTGGAGAGTACTGCAATTGGACCAGGTCTTGTTAGGTACCCACTACAGTCCAAACAAGTATGAATAGGGGTATAAGACCAAGCTGTGTGAATAGGATATTTCCCACAGTAATCATGTGGATATTGGGCAGTTCCTAGAAAGTGGTACTAAGAAGAAAATCCTATCTGAGACCTCTAGATAAAAAGATGAATCCAGAAGCTTATTGTGAAATCTTGCCTTTTATCATCAATACAACAGTTTATGATGCTCTGATCTACACTGATCTCTGCCTTCTCTATATATACTTTGGTACTCCAGACAAACATGACTATTAGAAAAGGTATCCTGCTACCATAACCTCAACTTTGGCTAATGCTGAGTTAAAGAGAGAGGAAAGACAGCACAGAAACTGGCAACTGTTCCCCAATATCCATTCCTTCTTTCCTCTATTTAGTAACAGAACTTTCTTATTATTAGCAAGGCACAGAGACACCAAGCTAAAGAAAATATTTCTCAGACTCCCTTGAAACTAGATACTTTTATGTGGCTAGGTTCCAGCCAGTGGAATATGAGCAGAAATTATATGCAAAACATCAAGTTAATGGCATTAAGTGGAAGCTGGGTACACTTTCATTTCCTCTTTCCTCCATTCCATGGGCATAAAGATTTTGTGCTGGGAAACTA